TACTAATATAATTTATACTTTCCAAACAAATCTTGACAAAACTATTTATTTCAGCTGGGATAGCAGATCCTTTTATATTTTTTTGAATATAAAAATTATTATAATATTACTAGCTAATACTATTTAAAATATATATTATAATTTAAAGTACTATAGTATAAATTTTAGAAATATATATATCAAAAAATATTAAAAGTCATTGAAAAATATAAAAGATTATTAAAATATGTGAAAAGATATGAAAAGTTATCAGAAGTTATAAAAAGTCATGGAAAGTTATCAGAAGTTGTAAGAAGTTATGGAAAGTTATCTGTGATTGATATGTAATCATTCTATCAAAATTAAAAATGATCTTTCACTATATTACTCTACTGTATATATGAGTATCATATTATAAGTAATATAAAAATATAGATCTCAAATATAAATAAAATATAATATTTAAATATAGAAGTGTAATAATAAATATAATAATAAGAAATAATTATATGACATAAAAATAGGGATAATTATAAAATAAATGAAAATTATAAGAAAATGTAATTTTGCATAACTATGGAAAGATTAAGAAATTAAGAATCTTTATGTTATTATAGTAATATTAGTATTTAAATTAGCTAATATAATTATCTAATTTAAGTTTAATTAAATATTTATAAAATAAAATATATTAATATTATTAATATCTTTCTAAATTAATTTTAAATATAAAAGACTTATAAAAAAATATAATTAATTTGAAAGAAAATTGATATGAATAATTATATAAAATTTAATTCATTTTATATTAAAAAGAAAATTGTAATATAATAAAAATATATAAAATAAAAATATATAATAATTATACTAAATAATAATATATTAAATATATTTAAAGAATAAAAAAATAATATTTTTATTTTATATCAAAATTATATAAATTTAATTAAAAATAATATAATATATATTAAAAAATTTAAATATTATAATTATAATATAATTAGCTTAATAATTTATATTAAATTTATTATATTTAAAATTATTTATATATATTTAATTAAATTTATTAATTATAATTTGATATTTTAAAAATTTGAAAAAACATATATTAAATTAAAGAATTTTAGCTATTATTTAAGTTAAAAATAAAAAATATTTATTAATAAAATTAAAAACTTTTATATATTAATATTTTCTAATTATAATTAATAAAAAAATTAAGAATTATATTCTTTTAATTATTATTATATATAATATTAAATTAAAAATAATAATATAATTTTATATAACAAAATTTAATTAATTAAAATAATATTTTAAATATTAAAAATTTAAAAAAACTAATTATAAATAATTTTTATAAAGTAATTATATTAAAAATTATTAATAATATTTTGTAATTATAAAGATTTTTTTAATTATAATTAATTAATAGCAGAAAAACTCAAAAAGAATGATTATAAAAAAAATATAACTATAAAAGAGATGTGACTAAAGAGAGATCTAACTGTATTTAAAACGATTTAAAGCCGGATTTACAATAATAAATTAAATTCGATTCCAATCTCTAATCGTTTTCAAACGATTGAATGATCCATCATTTTTATTGGTTAAATCGTCACCATATCTGATAAGAGATGATCAGCAGGTTGCATGCAGATAAAATATCAGTCTGGCAGTCAGTAAAAATGATACACTCGATCGAGCTTGAAGAAACCAAATCATGGCGGGAGCGCCAAAATATTCCATTCCAGAAATTGAGGCAGTTCGCCTGAAAATGACTCAACTCAATGAGTCTCAAACCCAATTCCTTGTTAGTGCCAATCCAGCACTGCCTGACCCTCTTTCATGGTTCGAACATATTTCGTAAAACTTTACAAATCGTATGTTGCTTCACATTTCTCGTTCCGAAAACGCTAAAATAATGTAAACACTCAGGCCCGACTACCTGTCAAAATTCAATGTACTCCTTTCAAAACACACCAATCTCAGCAATACCCTCATCGACCCGAAACTTCAAAAAATAATGCTTCATCCCAATGAATCCCTCCCGGACGAACAAGATCTCACACTTCGTACACTTTTACGCACCAAACAAATTCCGGAAATTGAAGAAATCGAGACGGAAACTAAACGGGAGATCGCAGTTCAGGAAGGACTATGGGAGCAAGAGTGTGACGCGGTCCAGAGCAAGGATAAAGAGTCGGACGACGAGGAAAAGTGGGAAGTGTTGAAACAAGAGTGGCAAAAGATTTATGATGAGCATGAGGCTGTGTGTAAAAAAACGAGCACCTTTGTCGAGGAAATTTTGGCAAAAGAGAATTTGGAAGGATTCAAACGGTTGCCGGAACCTGTTATTCAGGATGATGATAAAGAGCAACTTGCGTTGGAGGAGGTATTAAGATTCATGTCGAGTGGAGCAAAGAATGGAAAAATGCCTAGTGTCTCATTACCAATATAATTATAACTTAAATCCTAGTTTGTTATTAATATCTTGGATTGATTCATTGTCAAATAGAAATAGAATTCATTTATCCTTTTAGAATATTTTCGTTCAATAAATTGAATATTTATTATTGGGATTCTAGTCTTCTCACAAAATAGATCGACTGTTTTTGAAACATTATTGGGTAAAATTAATTTTTCCGAGGACTCTAATAATCTTATATCATTTCAACAACTGTTTTAACTAAACTTTGCATCATTGTAGCACTTGCATTACTTGCTTCCAACACCTCTTGATGCGAAGGATGTACTTCAATGCCTTCAGGTTCATCCTTTTCAGGATCAGCACTTCGAGGTTTTCTTGTTAACACCATATTAGTCACGATTGACAACCCCAACACTCTAATACCACAGTATCTGGCCACAACTACTTCCGGCACTGTGGACATACCAACCACATCACCACCAATAAAATTCAGAAATCTCGCTTCAGCTCGTGTTTCGTATGAAGGACCTGCCACCCAGCAGTAGGTGCCTTCTTTTATCATTCCTTTTTCAAAATTTAATGAAGCGGCGGCACGAAATGCTATTCGGCGCAATTCGAAATCGTACGCGTCAGCCATTGATGGGAAGCGCGTTCCGAAATACGATTGATTTGGCCCGATTAGTGGGTTGTTGCCTGAAATACCGGGGATTGAGATGTGGTCCCATAAAATTACAACATCGCCTACTTTGAATTTGCTGTTGAGAGATCCTACTGCACCGGTAACTTTTGAATTCAAAACAAAAAATCTCGTTCAATATGTTAATGATAATAAATAAGATAATAACGATCTTTATTCTTACTAACCAATTAAGACTTCTACACCCAAAAGCTTGAAAATCTTTATCGGAAAGGTTACTTGTTCCCTCGTATGACCTTCATATACATGGAATCTTCCAACCATACATACAACAGGCACCTTAGTTACCCCGAGAAGACCAAACACAAGTTTACCAGCATGACCTTCAACTAAATGTCCATTTGTTATTAATGATTATTAAAGAAAAAACCCCTAACGAATAAAAAAGACAAACACTGAGAACTACTGCAAATTAATACCTGTGCTTCTCACGAATCCCGGAATTTCTGAATACGAAAACTCGACTTTACTAGTTCTCGTTAACTTTGGTTGTTCTATCGTGTTAACCAGACCACCAAGACCGGAACCACATATAATAGCTAATTTCGGTGTGGCTAAATCTGGTGGTAAATATGCACGAAGATATTTCAACGTATTGCTATACTCTATTGTGTCATCGTCTAGTTCCGCACTTTGTAGGTTTTGTGGTGGTGGCATTTTTTAACTATTGTTCATGAAATGGCAACCATTTTGTTTGATTGATTGTTACACATAATATACATGTATAATGTTGGTTGTGTGAAAGCTTTCGATGAAAGCTTCCATATTGATATCGAAAGCTTGGCTTTTATTATTAATATAAATATATAATCAAAAAGACTATTTAGCCTAATTATTTTTGGTTAGCGTTAATCTTTTTATGAAATCAAAATAGTTTACTTGAAATTAATAAGCGGAAAAAAACGCGTTGGATTTTCACGTATCCACACGATAAAACACTCCGATTACCGTTACCTTGAAAAAATCTAGCAAACCAACGTTATTGCTGCGACATTAGTAACAGTTGGATCTTTGTGTTTCTTCAATTGAAATGCACGCCGAAATATGTCTATTATCATTGCCAAATCAACATAAAGTCGCATGTCAAGACTATTATTAATAAACCTGTCAAAAGTCAGAACTATATTAAAATTCGACATTAACTTAAATTTTTCAGGGAAACTTTAATCAATATTGTTTCTGCAAAACTTTGACACCAACCGTGTTTGTCAGTATTCTGTAAATGTTTGACGTTATAAATTTTCTCATTAGACGAGTTTCGTGGAAATTGTAGGAACTGGTAAAATTGTTCTCTACCGGAATAATAACTATCTTTTCCAACTTCGCATGTTATGTTCATCTTTTACACTTATTGTTAAAATAATAAATTTTTCTTTCCTAAATTTGCATTTTGCTCATATACCGTATTTTCACGAAATAACGCTCATCTGCAAGTACGCGCATGTGCGACAAAGGGTCGATTTTCTGCTTTCAGGGAATGATCGAATTTATAAGATTTATCGATATGGTGCATAACATCTATACTCATTAAAAATGCAGATCAGTCCGAAATTTTGAAATGACGATCTTCACGTGATATAAGTATATTCGTTAATTCTCACTAAATCCGACACTACTATCTAATTTATTTACCGTTGCTCCTCAAAGATACTTTTATACTTATCTTTTTCTCTTCCAATTCGGTTGTATTACGCGAAACACTAAAAAAAAATTATTGTGTAAAATAGAAATGATGGATGAAAATAAAATTTGCATTTATTG